CAAATGATACTTAACAACAATAAAAATCTGTGATAAGCTGATCAAATGACTTTGTCTAATGAAAAGTATTTTCTTTGGACGATATATTTGAGAAAACTGAAAATTACATTGAAAACACTGGCAAATTCCATGACTTAAAATAGTTAAACGTTAATAATTTTGTCAAATCTTGTCAAATATTTCTGAAATTTTTACAAATGATACTTAACAACAAAAAAAGTCTGTGATAAGCTGATCAGTTGTCTGTGTCTTTTTTTAAAGTGTCAAGTTTATTAGAAATTGATAATCAGAAGTGTAAGAATTAACCAAAACAAATATTTCAATATTGCAATATATTATTAACTATCGAAGGAAATGGCATATGTGATGATTTGAGTTTGTTTGTGTAGGAGGTTGTAAATGACCTGTAACTATCATCTAGAAAACAATATATACCCATACAAGACTTATCCTTACGATCGATGCCAGATGCAGACTACTCCTTACAATGGGTTTCTGGAATGGGTTGCTGTTAGCACAATATTTGACAATGCCCTAATTCTTGCCACATATCATGTATTGTACACATGGATAAGACAGAGTGCTGCTCTTGATGCTGTCTCAAACTTCACTGCCTGCTTTTTCATGGTTAAGGAACTCTGGAAAAAGAACAATATAACTGAAAAAACTGAAAATTACATTGAAAACACTGGCAATCCACGACTTAAAATAGTTAAACGTTAATAATTTTGTCAAATCTAGTCAAATATTTCTGAAATTTTTACAAATGATACTTAACAACAATAAAAATCTGTGATTAGCTGATCAGTTGACTGTGTCAAATGCAAAGTATTTTCTTTGGATGATATATTTGAGAAAACTGAAAATTACACTGAAAACACTGGCAAATTCCATGACTTAAAATAGTTAAACGTTAATAGTTTTGTCAAATCTTGTCAAATATTTCTGAAATTTTTAACAATATATACCCATGCAAGACTACTCCTTACTATCAATGCCAGATGCAGACTACTCCTTACAATGGGTTTCTGGAATGGGTTGCTGTTAGCACAATATTTGACAATGCCCTAATGCTTGCCACATATCATGTATTGTACACATGGATAAGACAGAGTGCTGCTCTTGATGCTGTCTCAAACTTCACTGCCTGCTTTTTCATGGTTAAGGAACTCTGGAAAAAGAACAATATAACTGAAAAAACTGAAAATTACGTTGAAAACACTGGCAAATTCCATGACTTAAAATAGTTAAACATTAATAGTTTTGATAAATCTTGTCAAATATTTCTGAAATTTTTACAAATGATACTTAACAACAATAAAAATCTGTGATAAGCTGATCAGTTGACTGTGTCAAATGAAAAGTATTTTCTTTGGACGATATATTTGAGAAAACTGAAAATTACACTGAAAACACTGGCAAATTCCATGATTTAAAATAGTTAAACCTTAATAATTTTGACAAATCTTGTCAAATATTTCTGAAATTTTTACAAATGATACTTAACAACAATAAAAGTCTGTGATAAGCTGATCAGTTGTCTGCGTCTTTTTTTTAAGTGTCAAGTTTATTGGAAATTGATAATCAGAAGTGTGAGAATTAACCAAAACAAATATTTCAATATTGCAATGTATTTTTAACTATTGAAGGAAATGGCATATGTGATGATTTGAGTTTGTTTGTGTAGGAGGTTGCAAATTACCTATGACTGTCATCTGGAAAATAATATATACCCATGCAAGACTTTTCCTTACTACCAATGCCAGATGCAGATGACTCATTACAATGGGTTTCTGGAATCAGGCTGTTTGTACAACATTTGACCATGTCATAAATCTTGCTGCATATTATGTAATGTACACATGAATAAGACATACTGCTGCTCTCGCTGCTGTCTCTCACCGCCTGCTTTTTCTATAGGAATTAGCCATCCATGGACAGGTAGCTTCTGGTAAAGGTACTCTGACACAGAACAAAATAACTGAGAAAATTGAAACTTACATTTAAAAGACTGGGAATTTCCATGACTTAAAATAGTTTTACATTAATAATTTTGTCAAATCTGGTCCAATGTTTCAGAAATTTGTACAAATTAAGCTTTATAACTTTAATTTTCTGAGAAAAGCTGATCAGTTAACTGCTTCTAATGAAAAGTTTTTTCGGACAATATATTTGAGAAAAGTGAAAATTACATTGAAAACACTTGCAAATTCCATGACATACAATATTTAAACGCTAATAATTTTGACAAAAATCTAGCACAACTTTTCTGAAATTTCTACAAAAGATGTTTAACAAGAGATAAGTTGATCTGCTGCCTGTGTGTTAAAGTGTACTTCATGGATAATTCAGTCGTGAAATGTGAAATTAAGGTTTGAAAATATCCCAAATTCTCCTAATAAATATAGTTAAACATTAATAATTTTGTCAGTTATATTACTTTCTTTCTTTAAAATTGAAAAAAAAAATTACTGCAGAAATCTGAGATAGCCCTATCACTTCGCTGCGTATTTATTAAGTGTCAAGTTTATTGAAAATTAATAATCAGAAGAGTGAGAATTAATGAAAAAAAATATTTCAATATTGCAATGTATTATTTCCTTATAAAGAAAACATCAAATGTGATGATTTGAGTTTGTTTGTGTAGGAGGTTGCAAATTACCTGTAACTGTCCTCTGGAAAACAATATATACCCATACAAGACTCCCCTTACTACCAATGCCTGATGCAAATAACTCCTTACAATGGGTTTCTGGGTTAAATGGAAAACAAGGAAAAGTAAGACCAAAAACAGCATGGATGGACAACATTAAAGATTGAACCAATCAAAAATACAGATAAAGCCAATGGCACAAGATTGAGAGGCATGGTGATCCATGACAACCAACCTGCTGAGAGTAGATGGCACCCTATATTGATTATTGTATCACAATTGATAAATATAAACTACTTTGTATATCATTATTTTTTGCTTTTCTCTGTATATCTGAATGCTTTGCTGCCTTCATTGAAAATGTACATACATGATTTTAATTTCTTTAAATTTTGCAATCTTGAGAGTCATTTTTCTCCTCTGTATCAGACAGGCAATAATAATCCCCTGCAATCTATTGAACAAAAATGATAGTTCAAATACGTGTAGATTTATATATATGAATTCATAAATGTTTGTTTGTAGTCAGAAAGCTTTCATTTATGATATATCCACATATTTAATTTACCTGTTGACTGTTTCCTCTGTCCACTCTGATGGACTTGGTCATCCCTGGGGCACAAGTTGCTGGTGGAGAGCCATTTTCATCAGTGATCATTACAGTGATCTATTTCATCACATACTTGAGCCTGCGTGATGCAGCAGAAGTTTGCAAGTTAGTCTGGTGAACAAGTCTGGAATGATGGAATTGATATCACATGCTTACATACAACTTTTTCAATAGCAGTATTGAATTGGCTGTGCAACAGTTTTTGAAATGGAACAATACTTGTACTTAAACAGCTGAAACATAATTTTATATCATGTTTTCTAACAAATAAGTTGATATTTTCTGAGTAAAATGCACCTATTACTTGTCTCTAAATTCCTATGTGTACTAAATTGACAAGCAATCTTTACAGCTTCAGAAAGGTCATTACCCACTACTTCACAACCCATTTTTTTGATATCCATCTTCATTCTAAGTAACACTTTCTACACCCTTCCTCATCACTGTCATCTCTACAGTCATTGTTGTGGTCACATCTCCATGATAAAGTTAATACAGCGGCCATTACCACATACAAACTTATGTGGAGGACATGTGTGATCAGCTGGAAGATGATAAAAAATTTATCTTTAAAACAATCTACTTTTTTTATGTGTCTTAAAACTGTTTCTTCGGTTTCTTTGACAAAGCAATAAAATACCTGAGAGATTTACATAAAAATTCTTACATCAGTAGCAGCACAAATTCACCCAAATATCAGGCATTACATACCCTAGGTTCTAGATTTCCTTATTGCCAGCTCAATCTTGATTTCATATATATCCCATATCAGCAATATGAAACTCTAGCCACCTGGAGGCGTTCTTCAGCAAAATTTTGCCTGGGGTGCTTCCACATTTGGAAGTCACAAGTTTTGTATGTCACAGATGTATGCGCCTGAGCTGCATATTTGGAAGTCATAAGTCTCGTACGTCACAGGTTTGACC